CAAATACCACGTGAGCTCGTACGGCGTTGTGTCAAAGCCAATGTGACCAGCTATTGGGTCACTGGCCACTCACTTCTCATCACAACAGTGAGTAACTGACGGTGGGCGGATGAACATCCTTGCTTACTACTGGCTTATCTGTGGACTGCTTCCGAACACAAAGTAGGCGAATGAGCCACCCGGCTGTCAACGGTCTTTTCGAATCGTCCCGCTGCCTTGCGGGTCAGGTCTTTATGACCAAAGTCTCGAGATGGGGTTCCTTAAGTCAACCGTCTTCCTCGGCCTTGGCAATCGGGAAGACCTCTGTCCACACAACGCACGAACCTACTAAACCTTTCAAACACTTCTACTGACCACCAGTTTTCTCATTTTTGTTGTTGTTAGGCATGTGTTGTGGCAATACCAATTGTATATTGGTAATGTGTTGTATACTAATAATAATAATAGGTCGTGTCCTGCGAATGCTGTTTCCACGATATCATCGATGGAGAAGTTAAGGAGGAAACGTAACAGCGGGCATCATCATCATCATCATCATCAACAGCAGTACATCAGCCATTTGAACTGATGCTTCGCTGCCATACAACCATGAGGACCTATGAAATAAAGAATAAGAGGGAGAGAAGGGGGACTTACCTGAAAACCTTAATGCCCTAAGCAAACATTCAGGGTCAAGGCGCCTACACCTTGTGTTAACAACATACCGTCACAAACAGCTGGCTATCGTGCAAAGATAAGGCGGCATCGGCGAGACAGCTTCCTTGCGGCTTTCACTGCCACGCGTCATAATCAGCCATTACCCCGCAGATAACTCAGCACCAAACACACTTTAAACAGACAATCCGATTAGGAGACGGCAGCAGACGCGCCACTGATGTCGGTTACGAGCCATGTCCTGTAAAGTCTCGAGCCAAGCACAAGGTGTAACAGCGGGCAACCTTGTCTCACACCGCTGGATATATCAAAGCGCAGCAAACGTTTGCCGTAAACTTTTACTATGCCCGAACTATGCGCGTACAGCGTTTTGATAATGTTAACGTTTTATCGGGCTCACTTTTTCTCAGCACAGTCCCAAAGGGTATATCGACCAACCGAATCGAAGGCACCTTTGATGTCGAGAAACACGACAACGGGAGTCGCCAATAAATGGCGGTGCTCCAACAACTGACGCAAAGTGAAGATGTGGTCAATGCAGCACCTACCTCTTCAAAATTCGGTTTGCTCTTCACTGAACTGGATTTCACGAATGCGCCTGTAGCGTTACTTACATCGGTCGAACGGCGCGGCACTTGTCAAAGCGCATTAATGAGCACCTTCCACGCTGGTTGCGTCGAGGCGGTACCGGGGCTATAATTAGCTCTGTTATGGCTCCTCTGGTTGGTAGTGGGCATGGATCGACCCAATCCGCGCCTTTCGAATACCGCTCTTATCGAAAGGCCTGCGCCTCCGCACCCTCGCTACAGCTGAGGCGATCAGTATTTGGTTGTATCAACCGCTTTTGTGTTTGCAAGAAATTGACCGAAGCTCTTAAGTTACCCTGCCTAGATAAAATGGACGATTCGGAGACCAGGAGCAACCATTTGACGACATATTTGCCCTAGTGTGCGCCAGTTGCATTTTCTCCTTTTTCTGTGTAATACGACCCAGTAGCTGAGGTGTTCCCCACCTCGAGCTAATGTGTATGATGATGATGAGTTTGCGCTTGTCGTTTACGTTTATTGCTGGTTTATGCCCCCGATTGTCACGTGATCTAATTTCATTTGAACTGATCGAAACCACTGTTACTCCCATTGCTCTTGTACCCATATGATTGTAAAGGTCTGACGATGAATTCATTAAAAGCAATTGTTTACCTTCGGTCCCTTGTTCTTGCTGATTGAATGGGAATTTTTCGGTTACTATTAGTTATTCTACGGAGGATGACAGAGGCAAATAATTCAGAGGCGCTTGCAATAAGACTGACCTTATGGACTAACCGATAAAGGAGGTTTACCTCACATATAAAGTATCCTGATGCACCTTAGCGTCGGACGGCCGTAAATCCCGAGGTATGCCGAAATGTACGTGTACGTAGAGTCCGATCGTGAACCAAGCAGGCAGCGATGCGCACAATCACAACAATCCAGCGGCAACCAAGGAAGAACCACGGAAGGCGAGCGCGTAACCAAGTGTGTGTATATACAGTTAATTAAAACAAAGCTGTACAACAACTGCAGCGAAATAGGTAAACGTGAAAATGCAAAATAAGCAAATTATTTACAATCGCTACAACCTCTCTATGATTGCCGCATTCCAAACGGGAGGCCCTTCTTTAAAATTGGGACAATGACGGAGCAGCTCCACTCTGTCGGTGCAGTTTCCTGCTCTCAAAGTTTTACTAATTACTCGTGTAAATCGTCTACAAGTACAGGTCCTCCGAATTTGGGAAGGTCTGGAGGAATTCTATCTGCTCTTATGACTTTATTCAATTTCAACAGTTTGATCTCACGTTCGGCTTCTGCGCGTGTCGGCGGATCCAAGGCTACGGCCCAGATAGAAGGGCGCTTAATGCCCGAAAAATAAAGCGATAACTCCGGTTGGTTAAATTGCTTTGCAACGTGTTCCGCCCAACGCTCCAAGCGTTTTGACAGGCTGTGGATCGGCTGCCCACTCTCCTCGCGTATGGTCTCGCTAACACCAGGTCTTCTGCTGCCTGTTTCCCGCATCAAGCGGAATAACTTACGATGATTACTAACGGTGGTGGCTGCTTCCATCTTCGAGGCACAATGAGACCACCAGGCTTCGCGGTCTCTATTTAGTGTATCACGCAGTTTTGTCCTGAGGATTTGCGAGTCTTAGTATGTTCGCTTCCAGCCGGAATGTGTCGGCAAGCATCCATAAGTTCCAGAGACTGCGTAGAGACCCAATTTCCAGGTTGTCCATTTCGTTTGCCACATGAAAACAGGCCTGCTGACAGTAACGTCTGGTGGATATGCGACCAGTGATTCTCAACGGGGTTCAGTGGGCGCTTACTCAACCCGAATGCCAGCGTACTTTGATACGCATTCAGAACACATGGATTCGGCAGTTGGCTGACATCAATGCGCGTACAGCGATGTTGCGGACGTCCGCCGAAATGTGACCGAAGATCCTCGCACACGAGAACGTGGTCTGAGTCTAAGCTCGTGCTCCAAATCAAGCGACAGTTTTGGACAAGTCTCTCCAGCGGTAACTGATCGGTATGTCATCGATTTGTGTTTATGGCTGGTTCGAGGCTGGTGGTCGCCTAGGCACTCTTCTGCGAGTGCTGTGTCGAAAGTTTGTGTTCGTGTGAAAGAGACGAACATCTTCATACAGGTGTAACAACTGCTCACCGTTATGATTATGGGAGCTTGCACCATATTGGACGCCCAAGTGCAACTCATCCATGGACAGTCTTCCGACTTGGGCGTTCAGATCACCAGCAAGCACCACGGTACCCTTACCTTCTCTGTAACGGAAGAGCGCGTTCCATTGGTGACAGAATTCATCTTTCACCGAATCAGTGCTACAGTTTGTGGAGTCGTAGGCCGTTTGTGCGCGCGACTTAGAAGCCTGGAACCAGCCAGCCAATCTGCCGGCGCACATCCGGCTGTAGACTGGAATCCAATCGATATGGGCTACTTCAGACCAGGGATTCAACACACTGCTCACGCCGGCTTGACCGGCACTTGAAGCTGCGTCATCTCCAAATAGGCACAATGAGCATGTGCCGCATGTGGGGGATCGCAGGGAGCTCGATTCTTGTGCCCTGGTTTCCGGTAAACAGTAAATATCGATCGATAGGGTCTCGAGTGTTCGAGCAAGTGCTGTCTGTTGGTCAATCTATGGCAAAATGCATGCCAGTCTTAGCGAGGATCTAGAATTCCAAATGGATACCGATGAACTGACGTCGCCCGCTTGGTCGAACATGGACTTGTCGACTGGACTGGAACAGCGCCCTGCGATTGTGTGTGAGTTGCAACTAGAAGACAAGCGACTATTGAAGCAAGGTGGAGGAGGGTCAAGAATTGGGAATTGAAAACGTGGGACAAATTTGAAGTTGGAGCGGGACGCCCAGGATGGAAATGTGCGAGAAGGGAATAAGAAGGCGGGAAGGCATGAGCAGTAGCATCTAAACCCCTGTCCACCCTGCTCGAGGCAGCAGATAGAGTGCCGTTTATTATGATCTGCAACGGCCAGAACATCAGGATATCATTATAAAGAAAAGTCATCGAGTTATATTACGTGGGTAGTATACTGTCAGGTTGCCCAGTCCTTGACGAGCAAATGAATAATGTTCTCAACCAGAGCCTTTGGTTCAAAAACCCGACCGCAGGGCAGCAAGATTTTGGCACTGGGTTACAGAGAGTCCGTTTTGTGAAGTACGAAACCACTCTTATCCCAACCTGGAGGATCAGAAAACTGAGTTTGTCTGGCCTCTATCCATTGACCAATCTGGTATGAGTGGATCTGAAAGTGCAAAAAGCTCCATCTAACAGCTCCATGGATAGCCGGCCCGCAGCATAAAGATAACGAGCTTGTCCTGTAATCTCACGGTGCGGGTTCGAGACTGCTTAAGGGCACAGCGACCCTCACAGTATCCTTAACCTACGTGCGACCGTTGGTGGTCGCACGGCAGCGAAGCGTTGGTACCGCGTCTCGGCGTACTGCTGATGCTTCTCCTCTCTCAATGTATCACTGAGGCACACCACTGGACCACCGCAAGGTCCGGTATCGTCGCCATGTTGTGTTGCACCTAGTTCTGCTTGTAGTTCAAACCCACACTGCATTGTTATATAGGCTCGGGCTCATGGTGTGATGAGGTGTATTTGCCAATCGCCTCTCCCAAATGGATAACCAACGCATCAACCTCACTAAATTTCTCAATCCCGTCCTCCTCGTAACCGGATGCCTTGGCCCACTTATTTAATGCATGCTTCTTCAAACACGACTGGTCCAATAAAACTTAACGTACATCCAGCGATAAGCAACTTAGAACGCCCAATTCAGAACGCTTTATTTTCTAGTTGCATTCCTCTGTAATGTGTACTCTATTCATCTGCTACTGGCATTCATCTCCTTTATTATCATTGTACACAAATTAATCGTTTTTCCATTCGTGTACACGATTTTCAGTTCATTTTCACAATTCAAGTTCTGGAAGATTGCTGCGCTGTACACGCCATGGCTCAGCTCGTCCAATTCAGCAAGAACCTGTAAATGAACGATGCGGGAAGGAGTTTGGATAGGAATGCGTTATACTGTAAGATGAGGGCTGTTCTTTCACTTAATGTATTCATTCTACACGCCAGCTGGAGGTGAGAAATATCCAAGCTACTGTACTATGATATTCGAAAAAAACACCAAAACATTAGATAGCATAAAACACGAACAGGAAACAAGTAAAAGGTTCTGTTATACACTGATGCTGAGACCTTGATTAGGGGAAGCTAAGCGAAATGGGAGAAAGGCAAAGGAGCTCACAACTAATGGCCGACTCTTTGCTGTCACCAACTATGGAATCAAACGCTTTCATCGTCCTTCGGCCCCCAGCCCGAAAGCTGGGTGACACCAACCGATCGAATTGATGGAATCCTTTTCTCTTGAGCAAGGGTGTCTAAAGTCCGGGCCGCGGGCCAAATGCGGCACGTCTGAATATTCCATCATGAAATAATAAATTCAACCTCGGATTTTTTCTGTACAGAAGACATAAAAGATCAAGGACAGCATGATTAGATATGGTCCGCCATATTTTTACCTCATAAAATGTAGCCCGCCTTGCGTAAACATTGGACACCCCTAATCTTGAGCAAGTTACTGCTTGGCGCATCCCGGGAGCCGGTGTGCTGGCATGCGCAAAACATGGCCTATCCATCGTATTCTGGTTGCGTGAAATGACGGTTCTGCTGAGCGGTTCACTCTCTCATCCATCACCAGATACGCGACGCCGAACACGCTCATTACTCACGGGGTGTTCCCACCAGACATAAGATAAACTGCGATGGCCGAAGGCGACAAGCATTTTTGTGTGTGGCTTTGATAGGCCAGGTTTCATAACCGTGCCACACGATTAAACGGACGGTTATATTGTAGCCCCTAATCTTATTGAAAGATTGATGTTGCATAAGTATATATATATATATATATATATATATATATATATATATATATATATATATATATATATATATATATATATATATATATATATATATATATATATATATATATATATATATATGGGGAGGCATCCGTGTCCGGATTTGCCTGTCACTGTGGCCAGCCACAGGACGCCTGCGCCTACAGACGGACCATGGATGGCTTGCGCTGCACCACCCACAGCTCCATCCACACACCCCATATCCAGTGTAAACCCGAAGGAATAAGACCGGGAGGCATGCGGATGGGAGCCACGTTTCATCAACGGAGGCGGCCCACACTACTTCACAGGCAAACACAAGCACGCTGTATTTGGGGAATCAACCGCACACAAGGCGGTGGCTAGACCGTAGTCCGCGCCACACTGAGTGCATGGAACCACTCTTCGAGCCTATCACGGCTACAAGGACCGTGCACCCCATCCCCTCCAGCAACGACCAACTGTCTCCTGGAGCCAGATGGACGAGGTAGTGGGTAATAGACAGGTAGGCACCTTGTCAACATGCACATCAAGCGCAGCCACACATGGGATGTCAAACAACAGGCAGTCATTCGAAATGCCGATATCGAATAAAGTAAACGCATATGACGACATAAATACTCGCTAAATGAGCATATGGAAGAAAGTGGTTAAATGTCAATACGCGATAAGTACAAAATGTCCGAAAGTTATTTAAAAAATACCACGCGATAAAATTACGCAAGTTTACCACGATTTGCATGAGCGACGTGTGTAAGTTGGGAGAAGATTAGCAAGTACGCAGAACAAACCAAATAAAATGTAATGAAATTTATCCACATTAAAAAGACCTAGTTTAAGTGTAAGTTGGTTTAGCCCAACTGCGGTGAAGAAGCATCATGAATGCGACATCAGCCTCAGCATGGGGCACACATACATACATGGTTGGCGGCATCCGGTTTCGGATTTGCCTGTCACTGTGGCCAGCCACAGGACGCCTGTGTCTACAGAGGGACCATGGATGGCTTGCGCTGCACCACCCACAGCTCCATCCACACACCCCATATCCAGTGTAAACCCGAAGGAATAAGACCGGGAGGCATGCGGATGGGAGCCACGTTTCATCAACGGAGCCGGCCCACACTCCTTCACAGGCAAACACAAGCACGCTGTATTTGGGGAATCAACCGCACACAAGGCGGTGGCTGGACCGTAGTCCGCTCCACACTGAGTGCATGGAACCACTGTTCGAGCCTAGCACGACCACAAGGACCGTGCACCCCGTCCCCTCTAGCAACGACCAACTGTCTCCTGGAGCCAGTATGGACGAGGTAGTGGGTAATAGACAGGTAGGCACCTTGTCAACATGCACATCAAGCGCAGCCACACCTGGGATGTCAAACAACAGCCAATCATTCGAAATGCCGATATCGAACAAAGTAAACGCATATGACGACATAAATACTCGCTAAATGAGCATATGGAAGAAAGTGGTTAAATGTCAATACGCGATAAGTACAAAATGTCCGAAAGTTATTTAAAAAATACCACGCGATAAAATTACGCAAGTTTGCCACAATTTGCATGAGCGACGTGTGTAAGTTGGGAGAAGGTTATCAAGTACGCAGAACAAACCAAATAAAATGTAATGAAATTTATCCACATTAAAAAGACCTAGTTTAAGTGTAAGTTGGTTTAGCCCAACTGCGGTGAAGAAGCATCATGAATGCGACATCAACCTCAGCATGGCGCACACATACATACATGGTTGGCGGCATCCGGTTTCGGATTTGCCTGTCACTGTGGCCAGCCACAGAACGCCTGTGCCTACAGAGGGACCATGGATGGCTTGCGCTGCACCACCCACAGTTCCATCCACACACCCCATATCCAGTGTAAACCCGAAGGAATAAGACCGGGAGGCATGCGGATGGGAGCCACGTTTCATCAACGGAGCCGGCCCACACTCCTTCACAGGCAAACACAAGCACGCCGTATTTGGGGAATCAAGCGCACACAAGGCGGTGGCTGGACCGTAGTCCGCTCCACACTGAGTGCATGGAACCACTGTTCGAGCCTAGCACGACCACAAGGACCGTGCACCCCGTCCCCTCTAGCAATGACCAACTGTCTCCTGGAGCCAGTATGGACGAGGTAGTGGGTAATAGACAGGTAGGCACCTTGTCAACATGCACATCAAGCGCAGCCACACCTGGGATGTCAAACAACAGCCAATCACTTTAAACGACAAGCTGCAACAAAATAATCCAATAATTCATACAGATACCTTGGCATAACTCTTTCTTAAATTCCCATATGAAGTATGTTGGTTAGCAACGAATCCGCGATAACTAAGAAATGTCCACAGGTTACTTAAGAATGCTACAAACGCAACCAAATTACGAAAGATAAGCGCAGTTATTGTGGGCAATGTGGCCAGTTAATAGAACATTATTTAAGTAGGCAGAACAAACCAAATAAAGTGGGATGAAATTTATCCAGCTTAAAAAGGCCTAGTTTAAGTGTAAGTTGGTTTAGCCCAACTGCGGTGAAGAAGCATCAAGAATGCAATATCAGCATGGGGCATATATATATATATATATATATATATATATATATATATATATATATATATATATATATATATATAATGCACACTTTGTGGTACAGATATTGTGCCATCGGGATCATGGCTGAATAGGAAGACAGTATGAATAATAAGAAAGTGCAGCAACAACAAAAGCTTTTTTGTCTAGTTTACCACTCATAGTTTTTGAAATTTTTTCAGTTTTTTATGCGGAGGAAGAAGCGACACCGATGCACAGGTCCGCCATTGACATCGATGTTGCATAAGCGCTATGAGCGTCTGGAGAAGGCGTCTAGAGATTTTGCTACAGGCTTCGTGGCTTCATTTTCTGTTCTACAGCCTCTGATACTGCTGCAGAGGTAGTTGGGGTTTTGGACAACTTGTAGCTGATCTGCGATAAGAGTCTGTGCAGGAGCTGGTACCTGTCGATCTTGCAGGAGCTTAGCATTTTGAGAGTACAAGGCACAGCTCAAAACGGCCGACAGCCAGAACTAATCTGTCCATAATCTTTTTGCTTTTAACTTTTAATCTTGTAAATTACGGCTCAGCACGTCTCCATATATTATCTGCCTGTCAGGGCGTTATCGGCGTTTGTTGAGCTGCTTCCTTCTACTTTTTGCCAGTCAACTCACTTTTAATAGCTTTACAGCATGATATTTGTCTCCAACTACTGTCCAAAGTTATTCAGAAACTCGCGTTTTCTCTCGAAACAGTCATTTTTCAGAAAGTTGTAATTGCATGTCATCATCTGTAGGGTATCTTTGCGGTCACAACTATACAACATTCTATATTAATTCGACACGATGTTGCAGCCACATGAAACATTCTTAAAAATTTTTTTTGGATCCACTAATCAAGAGTGTCCCACATTTTCCTTCATGTATGACACCACCAATTTTAAGTTATATTTACATCGCTCTGCAGAGTTTCCAGCAACACACAGGCTAGGGATAGACTTCTTTATACGCTCAACACTTGTGACTCATTTGGTCTTCGTCCCAATGCAGTGTGTTCAGCTGTGAGGACGTGTCATATGCAATATTTCCTTAAATGTGCTTATGTGACACACATCCTAGACTCTATCTCCTGGTACACCTTCGATGTAGAGGTGAATGTGATATGTTTCCGTAGTTGCATTTAAATAAATAAATTGTATATGGCTCGACGATGCGAGAAGCCGTTCCCAGAAGGGACGGATCAAATAATGGTACAGCAGTTTCATATCATGGTATAATAAATTTAAACAAATGTGAGCACAAAATGAAAATTTGTGTAGCGCGAAGCGGTCCAAAATATTTACATTCCTCTTGTTCTATCGTCTGACAAGTTTTTAGCAGTCACATGAGGGTTGATCGCACACGAGAAAAAAAAGAGAATAAAGTGCTGCGGGCCAACAAAATATAACCACTTGTGCACTTGACCACATGCATTTTCAGGCACCGTTAACTCCGTTCTCAAAAGCGTTATCTAAGGACTGTGCTGCTCGAAACATTATTATCACATTTTGAACGGTTAAATAATCTTTTATCGAAAGCTTAAACAAACGCAATGTGCAACAAGTTCTGCTAGCTCTTGGAAGTTTGTTCCAAAGCTTTGAGCAGTGTATTAAGAAGAAACGCTCCCTGATTCGCGTATTGAACTTTGGAATCATGACCGTTGTCTCCTTATTTCGTAGCCACCAAATAACACAAGTGCCCACTCACTTTTGCATTCGATGTGTACCACATTTCTGACACCTTGTCTCTAATGTGCCGCAATGCATTTAGGTTGTATAAGTGTAGCTTAAGTGGTGACAGGCAATAGATCAACAGGGCCAAACAGGTAAATGGTCAGCAGTCACATGGTAGTTCAGCTGTACGTTGTCCAACCGACTGCAGCCCCTTATATTTATTTATTTATTCATTCATTCATCACTTTACCAAATTGCCTTAGTGCCACAACACATAAGAGGAAAAACTAGCGTGAAAAGAAAAACAACTGTTACGGTAGAAAGTCTCACAGCAAGTGCTCCATTGCGCACGCTCCTTGGCCAAATCCTCCAGAGTTTGCAACCAGATGTGCTCGGGATCCTTTGGTCCCCAACCCGGGAGTCGGGAACGCCCGACAATAGCCAGCTTCAACGTTTGCGTCTTAATGCGTTGGATCCAAATTTTACATTGCTCTCCTTTTCGTCGCTTCCAAGCCACGCCTGTGCTCGCAAATAGGGCTCGTCGTGGTAGCCGCTCGGTAGGCATGCGAAGCACATGTCCAAGCCAGCGAAGCCTCCGCAGTGAGATGATACTATCTATCGATCGGCGGAGTTCGTTAGATATGAAGACTCTCCGATTTATTTCCTCATTACTGATGTGATGCTGCCGTCGAACACCAGCAATGCTACACAGGCAGCGGTGTTCGAAGACAGATAGCCGCTGGACATCGCTTTTGCGAACGGGCGAAGTCTTACAGTCGTACAACAGAATCGCTCTTACTGTAGATTCGTCCCTTGAGAGCGAGACTGAGGTCACGACGCAGCCACAAGTAACGAAGATTAGCCAAAGGGACTATAGTCTTAGAGACGCGCAGGGAATTCTCATTTGTCAAACCGTCAATAGTAAGAAAACTCCCAAGCTAAATCAATTTGTCGACCAAGTCCAGCAGATGCCCCTAAAGGGTTAGAGAAGGACATGCGCTTGGCCAGTCTTGTAACAGGACCTTACATTTGGAAGGGGCAAAGCTCAGCCCGAATTGGGCAGCGGACATCTCCAGTCTGAGCGGCACATGCTGGGTGGCTTGGGAGGACTCGCAAATCACCGCGTACTCTGAGTCCCGAAGGCGGTCATCAGGGAGCAGTTCAACACCGCAAAACTCAACGTTATCCAGAGTAATATCCAGGTTTTTGTCCATGTCGAAGTTTACCAAGAATGGAGAGGCTCGGAATTCCTGTCTAACACCCCTGGTGATTCTGAAAGGGGGCGAAATATCTCCGTATGCTCGCACGTCGCCCATGAACGTTGTAGTCTATTTAACCCGATTAATTGCTTTAATAAAGGAAGTCCATCGCAGCTACATTCATAATGTTTTTAACCCCGCATCCTGAAATACACTGGTTGGGGCTTGGGGTTGCTATTCTGTGACTCATTATTTGTTCATATTATTCCCGCCCTCCTTCAGTTCCAGGGCAATGATTCTTACTCTATGACCGGTGCTTCCCGCTCTTTTTGAATCATTAAGCCACATGGTTTCATGTATGAGGGCCATAATTCTTACAAGAATCGAACTCAGAAGACTGTTCAGCTGAGTGGTCCGGCCGTTGATAAAGAAATATAAGTTGATTGGTTCAGCCAGACAACTAATCAATCAGAGTCGCGGTCTGTTCTCGATCAGTATCTACTTATTTCTCCGAGATTTGAACAGCACGTTCTGATACATCTTAAGGGTGGATCAGACTCAGGAGTTAAATAGAAGCGCGACAGATTGTGAAAAACCATAGGACTGATGTGCTGGCATATTAGTTGAGATGTATCCCGCACGTGTGCCTGCATGTTAAGATGCTTGCCTTTCAGGGGTTAACTGTTGTTTGATATCCCCGGTGTGGTCGCGCTTGAGTTGAGTGCTGATAAGGTGCCTAACAGTCTAGTACACACCGCCTTGCCCATACTGGCTCCAGGAGACTGTTATTCCTTGCTGCAGGGGACGGCGTGCACGGTCCTCGTGGCCGTGCTAGGCGCAATGAATGGTTTCATGCATTCATTGTGGAACGGGCTACGGCCCAGCCACCGCCTTGTGTAAATCAGATTCGCATGATTCCCCATTTACGCATATATGCTTTTTATCTGCTTGTTGAAAGCATGTGGGCCGGCTCCGTTGATGAAACACGCCTGCCATCTACATTCCTTCCGGTCTTATTTCTTCGGGTTTACATTGAATATGGGGTCTGTCGATAGAACTGTAAGTGATGCAGCGCAGGCCACCCGTGGCCCCTCTATAGGCGCAGGCGTCCTGTAGCTGTCCTGTGGAGGCCGCAGTGACATGCGAATCCGGAACCGGATGCCGCCAATTTTCTCGCACTCAGCGTGATGGTATCTGCTTCATGCCTTCCATTAAACTATCCATGGTACCCGGTCAACTATCACTACCTTTCGCACTATGCAGTAACGCATCCCTGTTGTGTTAAGCTACGATAATTATGCTAATAGTCTGCTCCCTACTTTCCGAATAAACCGGCTTCGCATACTTCACTAGTGTCTGTCAAAAGCTTTGGAGTCGGTATGGTCATTTAACTCTCACTATTCTTGGACCGGAACATCTTCACATTCACCAACGCGCCATTAGACATCAGAGCGCTTCACGTCACGATATAGCTACAATGGATTTACGACTTACTTCTTGCCGCCCAATTTCAAATATATCAATTATGTTCTTGTTACTTCCAGCGAATAGAATATGCCGGTAAGTTGGATCAAATTTCGCCACATACCCCTGAAATTGGAGAAAAAGTGGTGTTGTTATTATCAGTGTGGATTACAAATATAATACTTTATCACTTCAGGTAAGATATTATTAGCCCAATAACCACAGTTGCTAGTATGGGAAAAGTCACTTTAGCCTTTAACGATTCATCACCACTTGCAAAGAGCAGTTGTGTGGTGGCCGGTGCCCAATACACTAGGTTTAGCTGGCCTTCTAGGAATACAAGACTATTGTCAGCGTTTGGAGTAGCAACACTGAATCACCTCTGTTTCGGATACGGACGATGTGATCGGAATGACGGAGGTCTAGTCGAAAGTGAATTGAGGTCTGTTGCGGGCACGTCAAATATTCCCGCAAAAACGCGCCACGAACCCCAGCAGAATGGCTGTGGAAAGCGAGGTTCAATTCCTCCCCACAACGCAGCAGCGCTCAGCCACTCCGAGACGCGGCCCAACTGCGCACCTTCTGACAATGGTCATTTTCAAACTACCACCTCTTCGTGGTGACCGTTTTCCCTAACTTAATAACCCATAGCATTGGCTGTGATTCGCCCTTTGTTTGTCGTAAAAGAGCCTACAGAGGACCGCCTGTCTTTCTTTCCTCTTCGCCTTACTTGGGAGTCGGTCAGGTCACGTGATTTTGTGTGAGTCGTTAGCTGGCCAGCCTTCGCGTCTAGGTCACTAGTGCGCGTCTACCGAACCGCCTCTCGTGTGCGTCCGTTCCGAGGGCTCAGCGTCTACCCGAATACGTGCGGCTAGGATCGTTCTCACGCTCGCTCAATTTCCGTCTCACCAGCGCGTACCCCGGCTAATCTAACACCCTCAGGTCAACGCAAGTCCGTTCGATTGGTCAGCGTTCCAGGCTGTTATCGTAGGCGTGCTCCAACCGTGCCAGCGACAATCTTATCAGGCGTTACGCAATCAGAACAGAGGCGGCGTTCCCTCAATTATAACAGGTCACAATAGAGATGGTATTCCGCAATTCAACCACACGGCGAGTACTCCACGTCCAACTTACAATGCCATACTTTTGTACCAAACGTTGCCCATGGATCTTAGTGGAATGAAGATCAGGGCAGCAGTCGTTAACCACTATCCCAATAGTTTCACTCTGTGTAATAGCTAGTAGCTTGAGGAAAACTGAGGAGCCAGCCGTAGCCATGTGGGCTAATCAGGCGCTGGGACTACAAAAGAGTCACGCGTATGTGGCATCTGATAGCCGCTTGAGCGAAAGGAATTTAGTAGAATATGGCAAATTGACGAATCAGGCGCACGCGTTGACGTGCCAGAAAGAGGAATCGCGCTTGGCTTAATGGCGGATCGGTTTGGCCGGACAAGATAGGCACAACGGACCAGAGAGATAAAACGGAGCTGCCGTACACAATCATGGCTAAAGGCGAATGAACGAAGAAGGAGCATAAGCTGACATAGACAAGCCGCATTTGCGACCAATGAACACAAAGTAACGCGAAATTCGCATGTGAAGAGGAAGCTGCGAATGTGTAGGCAATGCAGGCAGACAACCATTACCCATTTTGTACAGTCTTAAACGATGTCCCGCTTTTTCAATCATTGTATCTCATCGTTGCTCAGACTTTCTTGGCTCTCGGAGGGCTACAAGACACACCACAGCTCATGCTATTTCCATCTGATGAGTCCAAACGAGGACCAAACTGGCCATACCGTATCAGTGTTGGTATCAGCAACACCGAATCAACTCCACTTCGTATACGATCGTTGTGATCGGGAAGACCGAGGTATACGTCAGTGTCCCGAGGTATGAATAGAGATTGCATGTCGCAGCCGGTTTTCGCTGCGTAAGAACGCTGATCGGGTCCCAGTGACTGCCGACCATAGGATCCAGTTCAACTAGAGATGTTTAGAAGACGACTTCTCCAACTGACCTATTCGTACTATAGATGTCTTATCTTTGGGACTACCATATCAATTAAAAGTAGTTAAACGAAACTCACGTGGGAAATTTTCTCGCGGGTCCAGTGCATAAGATTGTACAAAGGTTGCTTCTGCCTAGTCTTTCTGCCATCTCTATCCAGTGCATATGGCGATTCAAAGACACGTTCCGGAAACTCCCATACCTGAACAATGTATGCATGGGATGAAACCATTTCAACTTGCTTGCAATAATGACTTTTCACGTCTCCATGAGCAAGTCAAAATGACATTTCTTGTGGGGTCAATATCCATTCCATCGTTTCCAACCACATGAGGACCACATATCTCCCTTCAGACTGCTAAAATCAACAGTGCATTTGTTACCATAGAGAATTCCCTTGTTGTTCATCCCATATTCGGATTGTGTCATCCCAGCTGGCAGAAACGAAGATTGACGCATAGTGAGGATTATTTCGGCCCCGTGGATGATAAGCCAGTGCGGTGACTCGACTGGTATGTCCATATGCAGTATGATCAGAGGTGCTAGAATCCGAATAATCTAGGTCGCAAAGCTACTCGCACACTCACCTCGGCTGCAAAATGCGACCTTTATCAGTTGATCCCTTGTTATAGACCCTCACGCGTGCATCTAAACCACCTGAAATAAACCTCTTGTTATCTTCTGAAATCGAAATGCAGAATATTTGGTTTGCATCATCCATTGGGTTGCTCCTAGGGATGTACGTTCTATCACAGATACTCTCTTTCCAGGATCGCACCAATAACTGTTTGCTTCCGATTCCATGGTAGTGCCACAAACGAATATACCCAGAAGCATCTATTATTTTGTACTGGTCAAGCTGAAACTAGGCATTTGGTTTACAAGAGGCAAGGAGGCAACTGCCATCCTTACTATCGGGTGCTGCATTTCGTGAAAAGCATATATCGGTACAAGACAAATTTTCGTTGGCGTCTTTTAGCGTTGCGATGGTCGCTCGATTTATTTGCGAGGCCAGTTGAAAGAACTAAAGAATAATTGGTCATTATCTTTTTCGTCTTACTTGTATTTCGCCATTTGCTAAGCCAACTGCGCAAAATGCGTGACTTGGGGCAAGGCGGACCACCATCGCTTCCGACTTCATGCAGCTTGCTGTAACCGTTCTCATAAAAAATAAACAACTTACTAGCTTTAAGTACAACTGCATACTCATTAGGTCTTGTAATGGGAGCTGCGGCGATCTCCTCATCCGGCTTCGAGTTGACCTCGAAGATTTCTTCATCACGCAAACTTTTCTCTGAGTCGGACGCACTTGTGCTTTCCGAACTATCTGTATCTCTTTCCATATATAACACTGTGCAACAGCAAAAATGATTTGTTTTCTATAACAGAAATGCCAATGCCCCTACCTTATAGATTGCACTTCACTGATCGTAAAACTGTATTCCGATGTTACTTAGCACATCAAGTTACACGGTTATAAGCGATTGATTATTTTCACTAGTATCAAGGTTACGTCGTGTGAACTACACGTAAATGTACTGAATTACAATCTATACAGAATGCATTTATGTGGTAAAACATTTAAAACCTCATTGCAACACTCGCCATTAACTACTGATTGCAGTTTGACACTGGGAAATGAGGACGAGTGCCGATGCATTTCAATGGAACAATGGTGTATTATGGATAAAAAAGCAATGCTTAACATGTCCCTCGGGATGGAACTTATTGTGGAAATATACTTACATGCTAAAGTGAAAAGCGTTTTGGTTGTCTTGCCATAGACTTATGTAGAATAGCGGAGATGCTCGCGTATTAAAAGTATAAATCCATAGCTCGGGAGTTTGGTAAAACACCGTTTGCTTGCGTTTTGTAGCCCCTGGCTAACAAGTTATTCAATGAAATGCAAATGTGACAACGCACCGTCAACCCGTTCTTTAATTATCAACAGATAGGGAGCAGAGACGACCTAATTAGGGATGGCGTTCCAAGGCTGGCACACGCGAATGGAAAAGAACTTTCTACGGCATTCAAACCGGCGATATTGAATTGTCAGTTTCAGAGGATGACCTCTTAGGTTAGTGTTGTGGTTTAATTCCAGCAGTGTACGGCAAATATGGTTTGGATTCTTCAGTATCTGGTGAACCGTTATGAGATCCCCCTTCAAGCGCCGATTTCAACATTCTTAGAGATTTCTGTCTAAGCTGATAGGGCAGCTGAAGGAGGCCGTGACGTTCTTGGTTGTCCTTCCTTCAGTAGTCACGAGAGCAATGAGATCTTGCTTCTGGCACGGTTGCCACGCATGGATCGCATATTCCACGTGCGGCCGCACGTAGGCATTAAGCATTTGGGGAGAGACTGAGGGTTCAAACCGACCGAACCCACTGCGAAGAAGGCAGAAGTGTTGATTGTCAGTTCTCGATGCCTTCTCTACTTTTTTGAACACCCGAAATCTTCCTTTACAAGTATACCCAGGTCACACTCCTGAGAGACCTTCTGCGAGGTGTGGTCTCCAAGCCTGTAAGCGCTCACCGGCTGGTGACGCAGATGGCTCACTTTGCACTTAGCTATATTCAACTGAAGCCGGTTCTTTGTTGACCATTCATAAATGCAATCTAGGTTAGGTTGGAGTAGGTATTGATCTTCATTGTTACTAATCACTCGCCATATCTTGACATCATCGGCGAAAAGCAGGAAATTGAAGAACGCTAGCCAGGCCCTTGATAAACACCAGGAATAAGCACGATCCTAGCGCTGAGCCCTGTGGAACGCCACATCCCACCTCAGTCGGGTTAGAAAGTGATTTTTTTCACACGCACTTGAAGCTTCCGTTGGTGAAGAAAGTTGCCAATCCAACCAAGAATAGGATCTCCGATTCCGTAGCTCTGTAGCCTGTAAAGTAGAATTCGGTGATCTATGCGGTCGAATGCTTTGAAGTAGTCCGGATAGATGACGCCAACTTCGACCCCATCATCAGCCACTTCCGTCCAACTACCTCGTGCCATTAGCAAGTTGGTAGTGCATGACCGGTGTTGACGGAAGCCATGCTGCTTCGATGTCAATATGTTGCCAATATGTTTTTCCAGGTAATCCATTAGAGCATCAGGGATGACCGATTTCATCACCTTCGCGAGCACAGCGAGGAGAGTCACTGAGCGATATTTTGCAGGATCTGAACGGCTGCCGTCTTTAAAAATTGAGGTGATAATGCCACGCTTCCACGTAGTGGGGACTTATTGTTCATCAAAGCACTATTGGAAGAACTGTGGCAGTGGTTCAGCTGGCTTGGTGGCCGCAGCCTTCACTGCATTCGGGCGAATGTTGTCGTTTCCCAGAGAGCTATGATCGCGCAGTGAGAGTAACTTCCGTAACACAACTGATGGGTTGAAAATTACATGTGTAAACAAAGGAATCGGTAATGTGCATGACATTATGGGAAAGTTAGAGGATGCGAGTTCGAAAATTGGGGCATATTGTAGCCGCACGCATTAGTTACTTCTTCGGCGCTTTGTACTCTAGCGCCTGTTGTGAAAAGTGGAGAGATTCCATGCTTCGTTTTGCGAAGATTGTTGATATGACTATACAGCAATTTGTTGTTTACCATGAATGTTTTGGCCAGGCACTGTTGATAAGTTACTTTGTCCTCACGGACAAGTGTAGTGAAATGGTTGCGATGGGTCAGGAAATTGTCCCAAGTCTCTGAGTCGGGGTTAATCTTGTAGGCACGCAATGATACGCCCTTATCGTCTGACATTTTTGAGTCCTGCTCCTTAGAATTGAAGACATTTTTGAGGGACGAGAGGGCTTGGTTTCTGACGCTCTGTTGACGATGCCGCTGTCTTTCAACGAAATCTGTCCAGACGTTGTCAAGGTAACTGTTGTTTGAGAATTCCCATGTGAGAGCTGCACAGAGCGTATAGGTGGTCACTTCACAATCTGCTCCAGTTCAATTCGGGGAAGTGTAAGGTAGTTCCCACTTGCCACCAGCCGAATATCACATACAAGCTTGGACACCATGTCCTGTAAGCAAACACCTAGGTGCGCGACCTTTGGGCCCTAGTCCAGGCTGATCTGAGATGCTCAGAACAATATGAAATGGCATCGCAATGAGGCTGGACCCATCGCAATGAGGCTGGATCCATCGCAGTGAGGCTGGATCCATTGCAATTGGGCTGGACCTTACCGTGGTGCGATGGTTTGCGTGCTTCAGTGATCCATTGAGCTAGACTGGATGGTGCTTTTGCACATTCACAGTCACTCATACCAGATTGGTCAATGGTTAGAGGCCATACAAACTCAGCCTTCTGGTCCTCCAGGTTGGGGGTTGGAATGAGGCTGGCTCCTTATTCCTTAAAACGGACTCCTTGTAGCCCAGTGCCAAATCCGCTGCCTTGCGGTCAGGTTTTTGAACCTAAGGCTTTGGTTGAGAACCCTAATCGTTCTCCTGTCTAGGCCTGGACAACCTGACACTATCCTGCCCACACAATACAGTGAATCTCACTTCAAACAAATTTCTGGTGCTCTGGCCACCGCGGAGGATAATCGACAGTGCCCTATCTGCTGCATCGAGCAGGGTGGATAGGGGTTTGGATGCTACTGCTCAAGCCTTTCCGTCTTCTTATTCCCCCTCTTGCGCTTTTTCACCCTTACCTTCCCGTTCCAGCTTCACTTTTATCCCCCTGTTTTCAACCCCCACTTCTTGGCCCTCCCCACCTTGCTTCAATCGTCGATTGTCTTTTAGTTTCAGCTCATATGTGAACGCTGGGCGTCATTCCTGCACTGTCAACAGGCCCATGTCCAAGCAAGCGGCCCATTCCAGTTCATCGGCTTCCATTTGGAGCCTCCGACCCTCCTTCATATTGGCATACCTCAATGTTAGCACATTGCTTCAAATCAGTCAACAGGCAGCACTTGCCCAAGCTTTTCGGAGACCCGCCTGCAAGACTCGAGCTCCGTACTCACTCTGCGATCCCCTTCAGGTGACACCAGCAGCACTTTCTCATTGCGCCTATCCGGTGACGATGCAGCTTCAAGCACCGGCCAAGCCGGTATTGGTATTGCCCTGAGTCCCCGGGCTGAAGCTACTCGAGTTGATTGGATTCCAATCAGTAGCCGGATGTGTGCGGTCCGATTGGCTGCCTCATTCATAACTTCGAAGTCGCGTGGGACTAACATGTGTATGTTCGTTATCGCTGCCTATGCACCGACAAACTGTAGCAATGACTCGGTAAAAGACGACTTCCATCGTCAACTGAACGAGCTGTTTAGCCACAGAAGAAGCTCAGACACTGTGGTGCTGGCTGGGGATCTGAACGCTCAAGTTGGAAAATTATCCACAGATGAGCTGCATCTGGGCGGCCAACATGGTACAGGCTCCTGTAATGATAACGGTGAGCGGTTACTTCATTTGTGTTAGGATACTCGCTTATTTCTTGCGAGCACTAATTTCCGACACAGCACCTGCCGAAGGGTGACTTGGTGCCCACCAGCCTCGAACCAGCTATGGACGCAAATCGATCACATTGCGATAAGTTACCGCTGGAGAGGCTACATCCAGAACTGCCGCTCGAGTTTGAGCACAGGTGTGGACACTGACCATGCACTTGTATGTGCTGACCTGCGGATGCGCCTTGGTGGACGCCCACGACGACGTTGTGAGCGTACTGACATCAGCCAACTGGCGAAGCCAGCTGTTCTGAATGCCTATCAGAGTACGCTGTCATGCGAGTTGGATAAACGCTCAGTGGATGCAATTGAAGCTCACTGGTCTCATATTCACCAGACCTTACTAGCAGCGGGCAAATCCTCATGTGGTATGTCTAATCGCCGACACGGACATTGGATCTCTTCAGTCTCTGGAACTCATAGTTGCTCGCCGGCATATTCCAGCTGGAAACGAACACAGTGAAACTCGCAAAGAGCTCCGGGCCAAACTCCGTGCTAGCGTGAAAAGAGACCGCGAATCCTCGTGGTCTCATCATGCATCAGAGATGGAAATGGCCACTGCCTTTTGTAACCGTCGTAACTTCTTCCGTCTGATACGGGAAACGGGCAGCAGGGGATCTGGTGTTAGTGAAACTATACGTGACGAGAGTGGACAGCCTATCCACAATTTGTCAAAACGTTTGCAGCGTTGGGTTGAGCAGTTTAAACGGCAATTTAATCGGTCGGAATGGTTAGATTTCTCGCCGGCCACTGTTCGCCCCGTTCCCTGGGCTGTCCGTTTGGACCCACCCTCTCGCTCAGAAGTCGAACGTGAGATCGAACTGTTGAAATTAAATAAAGCCGCGGGACCAGATGGTCTTCCTCCAGCCCTCTTCAAATTCGGAGGACCTGCTCTTATGGATGATTTACACGAGTTACTAGTCAAACTGTGGGA